CCACATTTACTTTCCTCTAAGCAATTAACAGATCAAATTAGTCTACTATTGGTCGATTTGTAAATTCAGTAATACGAATACTATGACCCGATAGTTGCGAAGAAAGAGTATTGTTGTTGGTGACAGATGCAGCTGCGTATATGATAAAAACTGGAAAACATTTAAAGGTGTTCTATCCAAATATGGTACATTTAACGTGTGTACTTTTCATTTGTAAATAATTTAGTATCTTCTATTAAAAGAGTATTTGTAAAAGCTCCACTTCGTGTCGAAAGTTATCGAAGAATTTTAGGAAATCTTGCATTATCACCTGAACCAATTTTAACAAGGTGGGAGATGTAGAATCAGGCAGTAATATTTTATGCTACGCATTTGGAAGATATTAAAAATGTAGTTGAATCTTCCGACGCAAATGATGCATTGGCAATTAGAAAAGTACAAGATGCTCTTCAAAATGAATCGTTAATTCAGAATTTAATATTTATCAAAATACATTTTTAAACTTTGCCCGATAATATAACAAAACTATTGGAGTGCCTTTAAATGAATCGATGGAATTAGTGGCGAATATAGATAGAAATTTTAGGAGCCTTCCTGGAATTTGCGGAGAGAAAATTATAACAAAATGGAATACAGTTTTAGCAAGAACTCCCGGGTACGAAACAATATTCAAAATTTGTGATATTTTACGAGGTCAGATTGTAAAAGAACCTAAAACAATTGAAGCATACTACCTTTAGCAAATTCAAGTACGCCCCAATCACATCTTCGGATGTTGAGCGTTCGTTCTCACAATCAGCCTATAAATTGACTTTAAGCGATAAACATCATTAACTAACTCTTGATAATATTAAAAAAGTACTCGTAACATATTGTAATTTAAATTATAACTGATTATTATTATGTTTAAATAATAACATTATTTGAACATATTTCAAGTATATTTTGCATATGCCTATATATTTTGGCATATTATTTAACATATGTCACTTACATAGTTTGACACATTTTCAAATTACTCCTGCATACTTAGCGGATGTCAATCGAATTGAATACCGGTGGCAGAAATTGAAATCAAAATTGAGTAATTATAAGTTTTAACAGTAAGACAGATGTGAAAGTAAGAATTACCGAAATATGGAAAAATGTTTCAAGTTCAACAACACTAAAATTAGTCGAATCGATGCCTAGGTGCTTAAAGGCAATCATAAATGATCAGGGTTACACAATAAAATATTAAAATTAACTTTATTTGTTGTTTATGTATAATTCTATTTTTTGTACGCTCAATTTTATGACGATAGAATAGGTGTACTTTTACACTTTTCGTTAAATATACATAAATCATTCATTTTATTAAATTCTTTTTTAAAGAATTATCTGTTAAAATATCTACATGAAGTATATATTGTGTCTTTACTTTTGAATATGTCTGTTTTTATTTATTTCTCTGCTAATTATCATTGCTTACCGAGGTGTACGCTTAATTTTGTGAGTACTGTATAATGGTTGCTTACAGACACACAGTTCTTTCTCTGGTTCCTTATGTAGAATAAGGAACAAAAATTTGACCCTGAACACAATGGACAATGTTTCTACCGAGTTGCAGGAAATAACGAAGACACTCGAGACGCTAACGACATTGCGTTACATTGTTCCGTGATAACTACTGGTGGGGAAATATCCAACGTTCTATTTGCTTTGATTTTCTATGCGCAAATTGTAGGTGCGCGTTGCAATATTAGATTTTTATGGGATTCAGAGCTTGGTTCAGTCGCGAAATTACGTTTCCAGTTGGGTTTTCATCCTTTGTGCTGGCCTTTGTGTAAATGATTGATCGAGTCAATTTTGTGCAATTACCTCCCGAGTGTCGTCTTTTAAAAGGACTGTGTAATAACTCGAGGAACCATGAATCGCGCGCGCGCGCGCAAACGCTATCGACATTTCGCATTTCGCGCGAAAAGTTCAGTCGATGAAAAGAAGCAACCGAAGAAACAACAGAATGGATGGAATGGAAAGTGGTCAGTATGAGTACTTGCGAATAAATAAGTACTTTTTGTTCTCCATCGGTCAGTGGCCTTATCAGACTATCAAGGACAAGATTTTGGTCGGATTAGTTTTTTTACCAATCGCTACTACGCTAGCGGTCTTTCAGGTATTACTATTTTATGACAAAATTATTTCATAGTCTTTAAACGCGAAAATAATTCGAAAAAAAGAAATAAAATTTTGTCACTTATAGCTTCGTTTATAAGAAAATCGAGTTCGAAAATGTGTAGATAATACGTTTATTATTAGGGTAACTGTGCCAGTAGTCGGTCGTTTAGAGCATAGTGAAAATTCATTTTACGCATTGTTATTGTTAATATACTATTTTCTACATGTTTCATACGCCAATCAATTCATTAAAGCCTGTGTTTTATAAATATATGGCCAATGTTTTAATACTATAGTAATTTGTAGTTGAAGTATCTAGAAATATGCAGAAATGTCGTTTTCAACAGTAGTCGTCTATGTTCAGCCTTTCAGGTGCCAGTAGTTAGCTGTTCTTATAACATCTGCATACTACCTGTATACTAACACTACTTAGTTAGTGTGGAGGAAACAAAAATTATAATGAAAAACAACAGTTTTTCGTAACAATACATAAAATTTACCTTAAAGTTATTTAATTAAATTATCATAAAATTATCTAACAGTTGTGACTCTTATAAAGTAAACAACTGTTACTAAGCAAATGTGTATTTAAAATATTATCATAAATATTATTAAAAACTTACTATTATTAGAAGTACACACACTAAATCCAATTGTCGCGTATGATACCAAATAATTCACGTTTCTTTTAACAGCCAGTTGTCAACATTCCAATCACCATTGCTGTAATGTTTTCTAAACACTACTTTGCTTTGTTTTCAATTGTTTGAACGCTACGGTCGACTACTGGTTCCATATAAATTTTGAAAAATATCCAATAGTCAGCCGGGGTTTTCTTGTATTTTTAATACCAATAGTCCTATCGAATTATATATTCTTATTATTATCGATACATATTAACGTTTTAATATCATTCTACACTCGTAAACAATTTATTCAAATGTTGCTAATTACGTATTCAAGATATTAAAAAACGTGATTTACAATTATTATTCACGGCATATGCTAAAAATATTTTTAGTTGTCTGCGTGAAGTACTACGAAACTGTTCATCAGTTATCTGTCATAGGTACAATCGTTTTCAGAGTAAAATTTATTGCACTACATACTATTGCCTTCAAAGATATGAAACTCAACATTGGAAATAGAAGTATACATAGATTCACTGTTAACTTCTTCCTAAACGTGATTTTGTTATTATTTCTTATTTCTAAGTAATTTATTACTAAAGAAGCTCAGTACTGGATAGGGAGTGACTACTAGAATAGTTATCTTATTCTGGGATTATCAAGAACGGTGTTAAGAACTGCTGCATAAAAATTTACAGATTTTTTACGACCATCAGATATATGGTAATTATGAAATGAACCGCATTAAATTAGTTAAAAATTCTGCATTGTTTTCTGTATCATCTTTTTGTCTGGATGACGACAATTTGGAAATTGTTGCCTGTGATACTTAGCTCCTGCTATTGCACTCCTATTACAAGTGCTTTCATTATGTCGACGTATTCATGATTGCTGTAGCGGGATATTTTCATAATTAGACTGCTACAAACAAACTAACAATAGAAGTAGTTGAAGACAGAATGTAAACATTACAGAAAACAACGAATACGAACGAATATGACAATGGGCTTGAAGCAATTTTCAAATTCGATATTCTCGTAAACGAAGCTGCAAACGGACAAATGTTATTCTTTTTTCTTAGACTTATTTTCACACGTAGAATCACTCCCTGCCCGATTGAATTACCCATTGTCAATTTTAATACAATTCTAATACAACCGTTAGGATAGTTGCTTCAAATTTTATTATGCATCTTTAATAGCATTAGGTCGCCCCACATGTTCGTACTTACTGAGTTTTTTACTACAACTTAAAACAATGTCTTAAACATATAATGAAATTTTATGAAAAACCGTAAACCTCTTCTCGTCGATCGCTTCCTCCACTTCCTTTGGCGAAGCCATTGTATCGTCGCTACAAAACATCTTTGATTTTTTATTAAAATGTATTTCAACGCTTTTCATTAGAACATTGACATTTTTAAATTGTTTGCCCACTAATAAACCTGGAGACTATTGCACTTTATGTCTTATAAGCTTCGGTTGTATTATAAAAATAAAAATACAATCAGGCTCAAGCATGTTCAAACAAATGTCGTTGTGTTAGCCAGTGTGGAATCCAAACTTCAAGCTTTGACACAATATTCTATCTATTATATCTATTTCTTATATAATATAGAATAATATATTATAGATTATAGAATTATAGAATTATATATTATAGAATATTATATCTATTTCTTTCAAATTTGTATGAATCGTTGATGTTAGTATGTTTAAAATTTCAGAAATCTCCTTTACTGACAAATTTTGTTTGTTTTCAATTAAATTACAAAGGACGCCGCACAGATCTTATGGAAATGGGCCCCGGTTAAATTACCTGAACTTTTGATACGATGTAGTTCATGATGTCTTGATGAAAAGTTCCAATGGGCCCAAGCTTGTAAATTGAACAGTTTCCAAGATACGAGGGATCAAAAATCAATAATAGTACGTCTTATTCTAGACTACCACGTTTGAGCATATTTGAGTGTAAGAAGTGTGGGAGGAATTTGGTAGTCAAATTAAATGAGCCTCTTTCTGTTTAACAAATTAACGTATATATATTTTTCACAATGTTCTCTCCACGTGTGCATCACACTCTCTCCATACATGGGACTTCCGCGCGTCCCCCTCTCGCGCCCCAGCGTTGCCAACATCCACACTCATTCATTCCCCACTCACTCACCAGGCATACCACACAATAAAAATAACCCTACACTCACCCCCCTTGGTTTTATTTGTTATTAACATCCATGAAACCTTTAACATTCTTCAACAAGTTGGGTCCGCTCAAAGCCTTAGTCAAGCAATCCGCCTTCATCCGATCACTTGGAACATGTAATACTTGCATGTTATCTCTCTTTACAGCTTCTTTAATAAAATAACATTTTCGATTCAACAATTTGGATTTAGTTTTAAAATTGCCCCCATTCGCTAACTTAACTGCATTCAAGCTATTACACCTAACTTCCTTTCTTAATTCTTTTCCCAATCCTATCACATTCAACAGTCTATCAGTCCATATCACTTCTTTCACACCTTCTATCATCGCTTCCATCTCACTTTCCGTTGATGACAATGCCACGACAGTTTGTTTTTTGCATTTCCAAAAAATCAAATCACTATTTCTATAGATTAATACTCCTGTAAAAGATTTTGCATCTCTTGTTTTATCCCATGACGCGTCAGTTTCACAAACGATTTCATTCCTGGAGCACTTATTTCCAAATGTTAGCTGATAATCAATTGTGCCTCTCAAATATCTCAGCACTCGTTTTAATCCTGTCATGTGCATCTCTCTGGGATCAGTGTTGAATTGTGACAGGCAGTTTAGTGCATATGAAATATCTGGTCGTGTGTGGGCACTCAAAAACATTAGTCTCCCCATGAGCTCTTGATAATCTTTTATGTTGCATCTTTTGCTTGTTTCATAATTATCCATCTTCACGTCTAGGTCTATTGGAGTTGTAGCCGTATTGCATTCTCTCATCCCGTACATTTAAAATAATTTCTTTATGTATTCTCTTTGATGTACATGTATAATTCTTTTCTCTTGATCAATTTGTATTCCCAGTATACTTTTTGCTTCACCTAAATCTTTTATATCTAACCTTTCTTTTAATTTTTTCTTGTACTTGTCTTCAATTTCATCGCTATTCGATACCACTATTATGTCATCCACGTGAACGCCGAAAAACAATAGGTCATTTCCTTCCTTTTTATAAAACAAACATGGATCCTCTCTTGATTGACATAATCCGCTTTCTATGAACACTTCTGTCATATACTCATTCCAGCATCTTCCTGCCTGCTTCAGCCCATATATGCTTTTCTTTAATTTGCACACTTTGTTTTGATTTGCCTGATATCCCATCGGCGGTTCCATATACATATATTTCCTCTTGTAAAACTCCATGCAAAAAAGCAGTTCTGACGTCGTACATTTTTATTTTTCTCCCATTTTCGGTACTTATGCTATATAGTAGTCTAATTGTTTCCGTCCGAACAACTGGAGCGAAGGTCTCGTCATAATCAAATCCAGGACGTTGTCCACATCCTACAGCCACCAAACGTGCCTTATAACGCCGTTCACTCGTACTCGAATCTTCTTTTATATTAAAGACCCATTTACTGTTTATGATTTTTTATTGCTTGGACGTGGTACAATATCCCACACATCATGTCTCATCATGGATTTCATTTCTTCGTCTATTGGTTCTTTCCACTTGCTCCAGTTATCGGATTCTTTGGCTTGTTGTATACTCTTTGGTATTACTTCATCAATTATTAACATTGCTAAATGTTGATTTTTTATTCTCTCTGATCTCCTAACATCTCTTTCTTTGACTCGTTGCTCTTCTTCCTCTCGTGCTTGTTGTTTCCGTAATTCCATGACTTCTCTGGTCGTTCCTAAAGGTCTTCCTCTATCTCTTATTTCTATACGATTTCCGTCTTCATTTTCTCTCAGTAAGTCATCTTCATCACTATCCATTTCTTCAATTGCATTTTCATCATCACCACTCCTTGTTCCGCTTGTCACTTCTATGTTTTCTTCAATTTCGTCATTTAGTTCAGTTTCTTTGTACTGATTCTCAAAGTCTAGTCCCTCTATGATCACAACATCATTTCCTTCATGTTCCTCTCTCTCCTTAATTTTCAATAATTCTCCTCCACTCCTACTTTCATCAAACTTCACATCACAATCACTTCGGATTTTTTCCATGTGCGGAATATATACTCTGTATGTATTGTTTGCTGCATATCCTACAAATACTCCTGTATTTGTCTTCGGGTCAAATTTTTGTCTCGACCCTTCCTTATTCGATACGTATGCAACACAGCCAAACCTTTTCATGTACTTTATATTTGGTCTTCTTCCATACCATAATTCATATGGCGTCCTTCCATGAACATTTGATTTAATCCTGTTCCTTATGTGTACTGCCGTACATACAGCTTCACCCCAGAAATCTAGTGGCATTTTTGAGTCTGACATCACGGCTCTTGTCATCTCTATCACCGTTCTATTCCCTCTTTCTGCAACTCCGTTGCATTGTGGCGTTCTTGCTGGACTGAACTCATGTTTTATGCCTTTTGACTGCAACCATTCTTCCAGGTCTTTCCCAATAAATTCTCCACCATTATCGGAACGAATTGCTTTCAACTTCCTCTCAGTTTCGTTTTCTCTCAAAACGACCAATTTTTTTAATTCATTTGCCGCTTCACTTTTTTCCTGTCACAATGATACAAAAATTACTCTCGAATAATCATCAATTATCGTAAATATGTAATTCCTTCCGCCTCTTGTTGAGGGTTTGATGGGCCCAATTAGATCCATGTGCCACAGTTCCATTATATTACTAGCTCTCCTTTTCACAATTTTTGGATGGACTTTCCTGCACGCCTTTCCTTCAATGCATGAATCACATTGAACGTCTATTTTATTTTTTTCTTCCATCCCCACAACCAGGTCTTCATTCTTCATTTCTTCTATTACTCTCTTGTTTGCATGTCCGAGCCTTTTGTGCCAAATATCATCTTCTTTTATTGTTGCTGCTTTTTCTTTATTCACACTCTTTGATTTTACATAATACGCATTCCCTTCACGTACAGCTATCATTTGTGTTTCATCCTCATTCTTATATATAATTGCACCATCTTTGTCAAATAATACTTTGTATCCATTATCAGTAACCTTTGCAACTGATAGTAGATTTGCATTTAAATTGGGAACATACAATACATTTTTTAATCTTACTTTGTTTTGAATCTCCTGTTGTTTCATGACAATTTCTCCTATTCCGCTTGAAATCAGCTTCTTTCCCTCTTTATCTGCCATAGTTACTTCTCTCTTTTCTTGTTCCATCACTTCAAAAATTCTCGCACTGTTTACCATATGACTTGTCGAGCCAGAGTCTAATACCCACATTAAGTCTTCTTTTATTGTTCTCTCCATAGATATTTTCTCATTTACCTGCAATACAGTCTCACCATCGGTTTGCATCATTGCTTCTCCTCTTCCACGTACATGGGAATTGTATCTTCCTCTACCAATTCCTCGATTATTACCTCGATTTCCTCTTCCTCGTGTTGATACAAACCTTTTAGGCTTTTTACATTCTGCTGCAATGTGATTATGTCCTTGACAATTGAAACATTTTAATTTACTATAACATTCCTCTGCCATATGCCCTTTTTCCCCACAATTATAGCAATATGTTTCACTCTTTGGTTTCTCTCTCACCTCCCTTACGCTTTCATTGTCTCTTCCAGCCCTTTCTCCCCTTCTCTTTTCCTTACGTAGCTCTTCTTGTTTTAGTGTGTACCTTATATCATTGATGGTCACATCTCTCTGGCACTCTAACACTCTTACATTTTGGTCAAACTCTTGTCTCAAACCCTTCAAAACATACATTCTTAGTTCATATTCCTCTATTGACTTACCTAAGAGAATACATTGATTTTTTAGGGCCTCGGCTCTGTTTATATATGCATCCACACTTTCCTCTTTCTTCATTTGTAAATTTGACAACTCACTCAAGAATCTCGCTTTTAATTGCTCTGTCTCAGCTGCCATATTATTTTTAATTGAGTGCCATAATTTGTCTGCATTCCTTTCATGACTGTATCTTAAAAGTTGTGCCTTAGTCATTGTGTTTAAGATAATTGTCCTAGCAGCATAGTTGTCATCATCCCATTCGTTCCATGCTTTATATTTAACCTCATAATCAGCATCTTCTTCTTCAGGTTTCTTCAGTGATTTCACCCCTATGATTTTTTTCCATAGTTTTTTAGACCTCAATATTCCTTCTATCTTTTCACACCACAGGAAATAATTTGTATCATCTAACGGTTCCACCGACGCTATATTCCAGCTTTCCGCCATTACGCAGCACGTGTTGTTCTTCTCTTTATTGTTTATTCTCACACATAAAAAACACTTTATAAACTACGAACCACTCTCTGCTACCACTTGTGGGAGGAATTTGGTAGTCAAATTAAATGAGCCTCTTTCTGTTTAACAAATTAACGTATATATATTTTTCACAATGTTCTCTCCACGTGTGCATCACACTCTCTCCATACATGGGACTATGGGACTTCCGCGCGTCCCCCTCACGCGCCCCAGCGTTGCCAACATCCACACTCATTCATTCCCCACTCACTCACCAGGCATACCACACAATAAAAATAACCCCACAAGAAGTACTGTTGTACACTGTCCATTTATTTGACACCTTAAAACTCAGTAGTTGTACTGTGGGCCCTTAAATATTATCCTTTGACCCCCTGGCCCTCTGCCTCTTATTCAGGAGTCAAAATAAAAAAACGTCAAAAAAGTAAAAAATGGTTCTCTTTTTCATTGTACAAACATGAAGCACCGTCGACATTGGCATTATTCAGTATGCACCATGAGGAGGTTGCTCGATCGGATTTTGCACACCATGTGGCCCTGGACAGGACCGTTTTTATAGTTCTCTCTATTCGACCATAAGAATCTCAACATTCATATTGTCTTGATGGTCTCTATTAGCGGCATTTCTGGTCGTATTTAGAAGATAGTTACAGTTCATTTTTAGGAATGTGAGAAATAAGAACTTGATGTTTGGAACGATTCCGAAATCGTGAATAAACTTTTAGTCTTCTAAGGCTGTTATCTGTCAACGAAGTGCCAATTTACGCTAATAGAGGGCAACAAGACAATATGAATGTTGAGATTGTCATGGACAAATAGAGAGAACTATAAAAACGGTCCTTTTCAGGGCCACATGGTGTGCAAAATCCGATCGAGCAAATTCCTCGTGGTACACACTGGGTAATGCTAATGTCGACGGTGCTTCATGTTTGTACAATGAAAAAGAGAACCATTTTTTACCTTTTTGGCATTTTTTTATTTTGACTCCTGAATGGGAGTCAGAGGGTCAGAGGGTCAAGGGGTAATATTTAAGGGCCCACAGTACAACTACTGAGTTTTAAGGGGTCAAATAAATGGACAGTGTACAACAGTGCTTCTTAAACTCAAATATGCTCAAACGTGGTAGTCTAGAATAAGGTGCACTACTGTTGACTTTTGATCCCCCGTATCTCGGAAACTGTTCAATTTACGAGCTTGGGCCCATTGGAACTTTTCATCAAGACATCATGAACTACATCATATTAAAAGTTCAGCTAATTTAACCGGGGGCCATTTTCCATAAGATCTGTGCAGGGTACTTTTATCCTCGCGAATTTCAGAATATCGAACGGCACCAACTTATGGGACGACCTAATATATTTATCAATAGTATTGTAAAAATTCATTGTAGACTTCGTAAACTGAACCCTAAGATCAATAGTAGGGATTATTAATAAATCAATCAAAACTGATTTACGAATATTACAATCATTAATCAATAGTAACACTGACTTTGAAATACGATAACTTAAAAAGTGTTACACTTAAAATAAAAATTATTTTACGAAAATGTTACATGGTTATGTGACATTGTTCGCTCTTAGCAATTTTTCACGTAATGGTGTGTTTGAGTTTTTAGGGTGGCGGAATGGTAACAGCGTTTAATGTAGGTGACGTTGATTCGTTCATGGAAAGTTTTGCACCTTTCATCATCAGCTGTATGTGTACCGCCAAATTTTTCAACTTTATTTTTAACGGCGAACAGGTATGTCCTCCATATTTTGCGTACCAGTTAACATCGAACGATCGCGTAGAATGAACTTAAACTCCGAATACAGATGAGGAGTCTTTTGAACATGATGAGAGACGATTGGAAGATATACTCGGCATCGAGTAATGAACTCGAAATTCTCTCCCGACATTATGCAGTGGGGAAAAGAATTACACTTAACTATGCAAGTAAGGTTGTTTTAGTTTTAAAAAATCATTTAATAATTCACAATCACAATGTACGATTGATATTTAATAGTCTCTAAATTGTATAATCGACTAACCTAAATACAACATTTTTTATTTAAACTGAACATTATCATGTCGATTGGATGCGACACAAATAGGCTACATCGCGGTAACCCGCAAAGATAAATACAGGGTGGTCTGTGCAACTTGTGCACTTTTATAACTTCCAAAGTATGCGTTGCTCAACTGTATAAAAACGTTGCATGGTTTTAAACGGTATACTATGTACACATCTATTAATATATACTGAGAGTTTAATAATCTATATGTTATTTATGGGTTTATCGAATTCCTAATCAATTTATAAATATATAAGCTTTGTTTTTTTAAATGACATACTATTCTTCTTATACCAAACTATGGAAGAATATCAAATTCTGAGTAAAAAAGTGTTAATCTGCATTGGCCCTAAACCTAATAATTAATGAGCAATTTCACTTTATTTTTTATTTCTTCCTAATTTTCACTGTTCTGTAGAAATATGTGATAAGGTTGAGTGTTCAATTTGATATTTCGCTAAGAAAACTTTCAAGAAACAAAGTCACATTACTTATTAGTTATTACTTTTAAAATATTCTTCCATATTTGGGTATAAAATGTATAGTATTCCACTTAAAAAACCAAAGTTGGCATTCAAATCTCCGAGATGCCTTTGCCTACAAAAGAGACAAATGCAATACATAGTGTACCCCTTCAAACTATGCAACTTTTTTATATAAAATTTTTTTGATCAATGCATGCTTTGGAAGTTATAAGCCATCCTGTATATCTAACGAAATGTTAATTTTTTAAACATGGTGCCCTAATGATTTTTTACGTAAAATTACCTGGGCAGTCCATTCCGGTAAATAAAAATATGCAATTTAATTTAAAAACAAATGCATCTGCGTTTTTCTGGTACATCGTTGCACATATGAAAAAAATAAAGTTGCAGAAAAATAGACACTATCATACCATTCAACTTTTCCCTCTACAGTTTCTTTTTCTATCTGTTACCTAATTCGAGATACAACACTGTATAAAAGTACAGAAAATCCCAAATTTCATCAGCACCAACTACTTTAGAAGATCGAAAGAATGCCTTGAAACTAACAGAAACGATCGTTTGATTTGTAACGTATTAATAATAACAGCTTTTCTATACGGATCAATGACACCCTTTATGATGATGCCATCGCTACAGAATGCAGCTAGCACTTTAGGGTTCTTCAATCTTTCCGGCGAACGAGCGCCGCTGATGTATCGCGTTGAACATTTCGTGGACGCGGAGAAATATTACTATCCTCTGCTGATCCACTCATACTTTGGCACCGTGGCATTTATCACAATCGTCGTCGCTTGTGATTCGATGATACTACTTTACGTTCAACACGAGTGCGCGCTTTGCGAGATTTTAAGGTGAGAACGTAATTTCTAGTCCAGCTGTCACAAAATATTCAAATGTTAGTTGATAATGTTTTTGATAAGGGGTCTTTATATTTATGCAAAATTACATTATTTTGGACGAATATTTGATAACCCATGTAATGAAAAATTAAAAATTTTGTACAATTTATAAATTATAATAAATAATTTATGTTATAATTTTATTAGTTAATTTTTTCGTTTTAATTGTAAATTTTTAATTGCCAGTGTTGTGTATAAAATTAAAATTGATATAAATAATATTAATACTCCATTTAATTTGGAATTGCTCGTAAAATAGAATAAGCAAATAAAAAATATCATTCTGGTTTAATATGTTTTGGAGTAACTATAAGACTTGCTATAATAAAATTATGAGGATCTCTTAAATAATATGGAAATTGTGTAATAACAACAAAATTAATAAATAAAATTACAATAAATCCTAATAAACCTTTAATCAAAAAATATGGACGAAAAGGAATTTGAGTAATATTTTTATTGAATCCTGTAAGATTATTTGATCCATTAACATGTAAATAAAATAAATTTATAATTCATAAATTATAATAAATAATGTAGAAAAAATAAAAGATTTTTAATTCGTTTTAAATCGTTGCATAATGAAAATGATGATTTACAATTCTTTAGAGATCGACTACGAAACTTCGTGGATCATGACAATATGGACATAGAGTTGCACCCCAGCAAACACGAAGACAGACCGTACAAAAATGCCAGAACCTGCATAATGTTGCACAAACACATAATCGAGTTAGTATTGATATTTTTTTTACAGTATATACTTTGAAATTATTTTGGCTTGAAAAAAACATGGACTTTCGAAAACCATTCTCCAACTATGTTTCATAATATTAAAGATTTGCTCAAAAAATCGAGAATGCAAACACGGTGTCATTCTTGTTCCAATTGGGATTCAATTTGATGGGTGTCAGCTTCACTCAGTTCCAGGTCAGTGATAGGTTCAGAATAATTTTTACATTTTACCAGCGATTTTATGATTATCAGTCATTTATTTTATAATTAGGCAATAGCAAATTTAGACAGGCCAAACAAGTCTCTCAGCTTTGGTTCGTTTACGACTTCCTTGTTAAGTATTCTTTTACTCGACAGTTGGCGGGGACAACAAGTTTTAGACTCCACTGACAACATATTCGAATACACGTAAGAATCTTCATAGCGTATACTTTTTGGAAATAGATGTAAGAAAAAAAATTATTTAAGACTGTTAAAAATATGTAGTAAATGTTACTTTTGTTTTTGTGTGGTTGGCTGCATTGCCGTATGCCCCCTTTCTTATGTTTTTTTGGTGTGTCGGTTGTTGAGAGTGTGTGTGTGTGTTCCCACGAGGATGGTACAATGTGCTTCGAATTATTACAGTCTTTTTGTTTGTTATCTTTCTTTTCTTTTCTAAATTAATAAACAAATATTGCACAAATTGAGTTTATTTTCTTTAATTCTAACAAAGACAAATTTTAATAATTTAGATAAATTTTAAATAGCATTTATGTTATTAGTAGTTTTAGATTACAAATCTGTTCCCTCTACTTTGTTCGACTAGTCCACTGCTTTAAAAAATAAACAACGAATTATTTCTTAATTTGATTATTTGAACCTTTGTTATTCAACCGAGAAAATTATGATTATTAAAAAATGTCTTTGTTAAGAATTTTGAAAGGATTTATAGAATTTGAGGAAAGGATTCAGATGGTTTGAGGCATAACAAAAAATTCACGCGGTAGAACATCGGTTAAATTGTAGATTTATGTTTTCAGGACAAGCGGAAAATGGTACCAATCATCTATGAATTCTAAAAAACTTCTAAGTATTATGTTAACAAAGAGTGTAGTGCCTATTAAATTAACAGCTGGCAGACTCTACACATTAAATTTAGAGAACTTCACCGCGGTAAGGTTTACCATAAGTCGGCTATACAGGGTGTTCTGGGAAAAAATTTGAATGGGAGATTCTAGAGGCTAAAATAAGACGAAAATCAAGAATACCAATGTGTTGATCGAAACTTCGTTAAAAAGTCATTAAAACATTAAATTAAAAAATTTCAAATCATTCTAAAAAAATTATTTTTGGTTGCGGGTGGCAATTACAATCATTTTTGGTGAATAGACATACCTCCGAAATCCTACGCACTTTCGAGAAAAAAATTCAGTAGGTGGATAAATTTTTCGGTGAAAAAAAAAATTTCAAATCGTTCCGAAGCAATTATTTTTAGTTGTTCGAGTCGATTACAATTATTTTTGGTGAGAAGAAATACACCAGAAATCTTATACACTTTCAAGAAAAAAATTCCTAATCGAAAATATAATGTATGGACAGAAATGTTCCCCGAAAATTTCATGTGAATGTTTAAAATATTGTAACTTCTGAACGGGTTGGAGGATTTCAATGTTTCAAAATGCAAACAACGCGTATTTTGGTGAAGAATACGTAGAAATTCTAAGAATATTCTAAGAAAAATGGACCAATTTTCAAACGGCCATAACTCATTCAATAGTAAATATATTGCAATGAAATTTTTTTCTGAAGTAATGCTCATGGGTACCTATAAAGAAGTATTAAACAATATTTCCGTACAGCGTCACACAAGTTTATATTTTTAATTTTTTTAATTTTTCGAAGAAATTAAAAAGTTTGAAATTGTAAGATTTCACATTAGGGCGACTCACATTGGGTCATACGCCTCTGTCGTTGACACATTGGGACCATCTGTTTGCGACTGCGCGCTAGCGGTTCTTCTACGCTACGATGTGTGCATTTTCTCTCCGCGCCTACGACATTTTTTGCTTTGTATCATTAATAAATACTCTTTATTAATTAACTCCTTTTGTTCTTCCGAGTCTTCTAATTAGAGCTGCCCCTCCAAACAGAAATTATTCTGAAAAAATTATTTTCGGTTGTGGGAGTGAATTACAATCATTTTTTATGAATAGACAGACTTCCGAAATCCTACGCACTTTCGAGAACAAAATTCGAGTAGGTGGACAAATGTTTTAACAAAATTAAAAAATTTTAAATCGTTCTGGAAAAATTATTTTTGATGCAGGGGTCAATTACAATCATTTTTGGTGAATACATATACCCCCGAATTCCTACGTATTTTCGAGAAAAAAATTCTTTACCGAAAATATACTCTGTGGCCAGAAATGTTTTCCCGAAATTTCATGCGTATGTTTAAAAAAACATTTGTAATGATTCCAAATTCAAACAATGTTTATTAGTGGAGCTGCAGGGCTCAAAAAAAATGGGCTGAAAAAATACATTGGATGTACTACTATCGCGCGCTTGCAGCTGTTCGCAGTTTATCGTTCAACAGTCGAAACTTTAAACGTTAATAACTTTTTACCAAAGCCTTAATCAACAAATTGCTATTCTTGATTTTCGTCTTATTTTGATCTTTAGAATCTTCAATTAAAATTTTTCTCAGAGGCATCCAAACACCCTGTATACACATTCAGACACCCGGTATACAACATTACTACATTAAAATATTCGGCAGTCTTGGAAATTATAATGTTTTAAAATGTTTTTGAAGGTTGTAAAAACATCATTTTCATATTGCATGGTTTTGTGCTCCTTTCAGTGAGTATCAAATAACCAGTAACGAGTATCAATGTCTGTTAACAAGACGAGATGTAGAAAGAACGGAAGGAACGAATCGATAAGAATGGAATGCATTATAAGGTCGATTGAATTATATTACATGTTTACTTAAAATAAAAACAGAACAATTCCCATCGTTTGTATTGTTTATATTTTTTATAATATGTGTATATAATTGTAGGTAAGTTTGGATACCATTTTAAATTGAAATTGTATCTCGTTTTGTAAATTATTTATTTTAGAACGATTTTCATTTTCGACGACATTTTACTGTATTTTCCATAAACAGGAATCAGGATTAAATAATAGAATTCGAAGAAAAGAATGGAGCTTACCTTTTACACTCGTTGAAATCACTGGAATTCTCGAAGTCGTTGCATCCGCGGCAGCTTCGAATCATGAAATTACACGTGTGTCTAAATAGAGAAAAGGAAACAGTTAAATAAAAGGCAAAATAGTAGGTCTTATTGTACATATAATTTAAAAATAAAAAAAAACGATACGATAGAGAAAAAAAATCACACCAAAAAATCATTTACAGTCGGAACTGTATCGTTTAATTATCGTTAAAGAAAATAACGAATGTGAACACTTTTAGTTCGTAACAACGTCGTAGCCACTTTGTACTTTCCATATTACGCGCTTCGATACATTCCGTGTCCCGAAGAAACGTCTGATTTCCCCTTAGCTTTTGATTCCGTATGCATAAACAACAGGTACACGGAGAATTCTTAACATTTCTTTCCAAACGTTCGATTATTTCACGGAGCTTGGTAACTATCAGAGTAATAAAAAAAAAAATTTGCAATCTAAACCATCCTTTGTGCTTTCACCCTTCGTAATAGCTCTGTGTGAATGATTAAATGTACCAATTTTGAGCAATTATCCCCTGAGTGTGCCTGACAAACGGACTGTGTAACGAGTCCGTAATCATGTCTTGCGCATGAGCGTCGTCGATATTTTACGCGAAAAGTTCTAAGGGCAGTTGTTGAGCAGGAGGAACCGAAGAAGCATCGAAATGGATGGAATGGAAAGTAGCCAGTATGAGTACTTACGTGTTAATAAATATTTTTTGAAAATCATCGGCCAATGGCCTTATCAATCGACCCTGGAAAAGATTTTGATCGGAATAGTTTTTATCCCAACCATTGCTCTTCAAACGATCCTTCAGGTAATACTATTTTCCGAATCGCATGTATACGTATATAGTATTTATCATAATATTTTATTTTATTCTTCAACAACAAAGGTATCAAATTATTTTCGCGAATTTTTGCTTAAAAGCTAATGGCTCGAGAAAGAAGGCATTTTTCAAGAATTTTTCTTTGCTAAATCAACAATGATATTCAGACCGTCCTTTTTTCGAAATATTTATCGATCTGTTAACAAACGTTAATAAATATTTTCAGTAAAATTCTCTCGATGGAGATTAATGTTTAAAATTGATATCCACGATCGAAATATTTCAACATAAGTTGACAAAATGGCCTCTAAAGAAATTTGATCTATTTTTCAAAATTTGTCGAAAGTGTTCGTACTTTTAGCCGTCGGTGCTAAATGGCGCACGGATTTACAGGGTGGCGGAATGATAACAGCGTTCAACGTAGGCGATATCGATACGTTCATGGAAAGTTTTGCTCCTTTTGTAATTAGCTGGATGTGCCTCGCCAAATTTACCAATTTTATTTTCAATGGTAGTCAGGTACGTTTTCCACATTTCTGATATCGGTTAACATGGAACGATCGCGTCGAATGAACGTAAACTGCTAATACAGATGAAGAATCTTTTGAACATGATGAGAGACGATTGGAAGATGTTTTCAGTATCGAGCAACGAACTCGACATTCTCTCGCGACATTATGGAGTAGGGAAGAAAATTACCTTTAATTACGCAGGTAATGTTGTTTTATTTTACGCAATTTGAATTAAAAAAATATTATAATTCATTGAACTAGACTGTAGAACATAACTATAGCACCGGTGACATTTTTAAGATTTTTATAATTTAAAAGAATAATTCAAAGAAAGTAATTGTATAACATAACGAAGCATTGTAAATAATAAACTTCAGTCGAAACATAGTGGAAAACTATAGCACCAACTGTGTATTTAGTTTTGTCTCTTACTGTAAATAGTTTGGATAGATTCTTCGAGAAAATGTAAAGAAAAAGAATGGCCTTTTTGAAAAAGTTTATGGTAGAATACCCCTTTAAATATTGGTTTGACAACTAAGTAATTGCGGATTTTTTTAATAAAATAAAAGACAATTTTTTCATGGAATGAAATAACTTTATTTAGTAATGTAATTTCCATGTCCATTTTTAACAATGATCTTTTGCCATCTTTCAGGCAACATCATAAAACTTCTGGTTTTTATCGGCATAAAACTGAACCAAGCGCGATTTAATATCATCATCGTTATTGAGATTTGTACCATTCAAGAAATTTTGCAAAGAACAAAACAAATGATAATCTGACGGTGCAAGGTCAGGACTATACAACATGGTGGATGTGGCAACACGTTCCAACCAAGCTCCAATAATTTTTATCGAGTTACCAAATATGTGTGTGGTCTTGCATTGTCAAGGTGGAACACAATACCTTTACGATTTATCAATTCCGGTCGCTTTTCTTGAATTGCATTATTCAGTTTGGTTAGTTGTTGAATGTACACATCTGAGTTGATCGTTTGGTTGTGTGGTAAAAGTTCAAAGTAGACGATTCCTTTGTAATCCCACCAAACTGATAACATAATCTTCTTACACGAATATCAATTTTGATTGTCGTTTGAGCTGGTTCATCTTGCTTGCTCCACGATCTTTTTTTTTCCATTGATATTGTTGTAAAGAACCCATTTTTCATCTCCAGTTATGAATCTTTTTAAAAATGGATCATTTTCGTTGCGTTTCATAAGCAAATCGCAGATGTTAATGTTAAGCGAATTTCTTTGAGCTCACGAAGAACCCATACATCGAGTTTCTTTATACAGGGTGTTCGGCCACTCTTGGGAAAAATTTTAAAGGGAGATTCTAAAGGCCAAAATAAGACGACAATTAAGAATATCAAATTCTTGGCTTCGTTAAAAAGTTATTAAAAAATTGAATTAAAAAATTTCAAATCATTCTGAAAAAATTATTTTTGGTTGTGCGGGACTATTACAATCATTTTTGGTCATTACACATACCCCTGAAATCCTACCCACTTTTGAGAAAAAAATTTGAGTAGGTACTGAAATTTTTAGACAAAATTAAAAAATTTCAAATCATACTAAAAAAATTATATTTAGTTACAGAGGTTAATTACAATCATTTTTGGTGAATAGACATATCCCGAAATCCTACGCACTTTCGAAAAAAAAATTCTTTACCGAAAATCTAATGTGAGGCCAGAAATGCTTTCATGCGAATCTTTAAAATGTCATAACTCCTGAACGAATTGGAGGATATTAATTTTTCAGAATGCAAACAACGCGTATTTTAGTGTAGAATATGTGGAAATTCTAACAATAGTGAAAAAGTTATTTCTTGATGCCATAAAGTGAGAAAAACCCCATTAAAATGATTCAATTTTCAAACAGCCATAATTCCTACAATAGTGAATGTATTTCAATGAAACTTTTTTTTGATGTAGAGCTCATGGGTACTTACAAACAGGTATTAGACAACTTTTCTTTGGGTGGTCAAACAAAATTATTAAAAATCAAAAACGAATTTTTAAGAAAAACCGACGGGGGGTAGGTGTACATTTTTCGGCGAAAAAAAATTTCGAATCGTTCTGAAAAAATTATTTTCAGTTGCGGAGATCAATTGCAATCATTTTTTATGTGTGCACATACCCTCGAAATTCTGCGCATTTCCGAGAAAAAAATTCAGGAAGGTAGACGAATTTTTCGACGAAATTGACAATTTTCAAATCATTATTTTCAGTTGTGGAGTTCAATTACAATCATTTTTGGTCATTAGACGTACCATCGAAATTCTGCGCATTTTCGAGACAAAAATTCAGTACGGGCGGAACTTTAAATGCTAATGACTTTTTAATGAAGCCTCCATCAACAAATTAGAATCTTCGATTAAAATTTTCCCCAGGGGTGGCCAAACATCCTGTATAAACCAGTTGTTTTAAACGCTTTTCAATGCATGTATATGTTACAGTGAAACACCGAAATCTGGAGAATGTCGACTTTCACCGGTGAATGTCAACATTCACATAGTCGCTTAGTGTATGTCCGAAATATTTGCTAAACACCCTTATTTCTGACTTACACCGGTAAATGTTGACATTCACCATGCACTAATGGTGAGTGTTGAACATGTTGGAGATTTATATTTTCTTCTCCGTAATTCAGTCGCTATAAAACGTCACAAGGGTGACGTAACTTTTTCGCCTCTCTTTCTGAAAGGATCTAACCCAGACCTAACCCAGACCTAACCCAGACCTAACCCAGACCTAACCCAGACCTAACCCAGATCTAACCCAGATCTAACCGAGATCTAATCCAGATCTAACCCAGACCTAACCCAGACCTAACCGAGACCTAACCCAGACCTAACCGAAATCTAATCCAGACCTAACCCAGACCTGACCCAGACCCTAGATTTGGGTTAGGTCTGGATTAGATCTGAGTTAGGTCTGGGTTAGGTCTGGATTAGATCTGAGTTAGGTCTGGGTTAGGTCTGGGTTAGGTCTGGGTTAGGTCTCGGGCGTCGGGTGACCTGGCGTCCGTGGCGGAGAAATCAGGGGGGGAAGGACACGTCGTCCTTCCCCCCGGGATGAGCCTCGAGAGGCAAGGCGCGGCGGGGGACTCTGTAATGTCTCACTAGAGTTCCCGGTCCCTCGCCGCAGCGCCGGAGGACGGTCACCGTGGGGTTTTAGCCGGTAAGAGTCCGGCACTACCCCGAGGCCCCCCCTACTTAGGGCCTCGAGGTGTCCATGAGGATTTCCCCACGTACAAAAAAAAAAAAAAGGTCTGGGTTAGGTCTGGATTAGATTTGAGTTAGGTCTGGGTTAGGTCTGGATTAGATCTGGGTTAGGTCTGGGTTAGGTCTGGGTTAGGTCTGGGTTAGGTCTGGAATAAGTCTGAATTAAGTCTGGGTTAGGTCTGGGTTAGGTCTGGGTTAGAAAAAGATCACGATTTACTGCAGTATCCATTTAGTATAAATTAGGGTATCGGAAAAAAAATTAAGAAAACGTTGCTCGCGTTATCAAAGCTTGCATAAGACTGACAAAGCTGATTGACTCCCAGCAGAACAAAGGATTTGGCAGGAGAGAGCCAGTCGCTTGTTTTTTGACTCTTCTGTTTTGGACCTCCAGCAGAGCATATCTGTGATTGTCGACACACACCGGAGAGGGTCCGAATGTACAACAATGTAATGAAATATTCGATCTTTCATCGACGTATTTGGTATCTGTTGACATTCACCGGTGAAAGTTGACATTCTCCAATTTCGGTCATTCACGGTAACATATATACGTGATACATCGAGGTTCTCTGCAATCTCATGCGTTATACTATGACGATCGGAATCGATTAATGCTTTAATTTGGTCGTCACCAACTTCAACTTGACGGCACAAAGACTGTTCATCTTTGAGTGAATAATCACCGGAATGAAATTTAGCAAACCAATTTTGACACTGCCGTTCTTTTAAGGCTTCGTCATCGTACACAACAAATAATTTTTTGTGAGCTTGCAATTAGTTTTTCCTTTGAGGAAATAATACAAGGTATGACGAAAATGCTCATTTTGAAGAACGAATAAATCCTTGTTATAACTGTATTATTGGCGTACATGTGCAATGGTGCATCCATTATTTTGTAAAAGTATATAGAAATAGGCCAATGATATCGTTCAACCGACGCCAAAACAAAACTACACGATCGATGAATATAATGTTCTTTCTGAATGAAAATTAAAGTACTAACAGTCAACAATATGGGTTTGTCGTTTCGAATGCATACAAATACGTAACAATTGAACTAAAGTCATCCATCAGTGAAATCTGCAATTACATAGTTGTCAAACCAATAATCAACGAAAAATCCTGAAAGCTGACAGAAAGTACCGTTTAATTTGGAATGTATTGACAGCTTCTCTATACGGAACAATGACACCCTTCATGATTGTACCATCGCTACAGATCGCGGCTGATGCTGTAGGATTCTACAATCTGTCTGGCGAACGACCGCTAATGTTTCGCATTGAACATTTCGTGGATATGGAGAAATATTACTATCCTCTGCTGATCCACTCATACTTTGGCACCCTGGCATTTATTACGGTCGTGGTGGCTTGCGATTCAATGATAGTACTTTACGTTCAACACGAGTGCGGAATTTGTGAGATTTTGGGGTAATGACAGTTTGCAGTTCCTAGGAGGGATCACTTTCTGTGCAACTAGTGATAAATGTGGTGTACTGTTTCAAGAAGCACAACGAAAGCTTATCGCCAGCGTTTTGTCTGTTGTACGCAGTCCTGTATGGAAGTGTGTGTATTTGTTCAAAGTACATGTGAGTAGTTGACAGTTTCTCGTACGTGTATTGCATGTAAACTAATCTTGTCTAGCGTAGTGTAATCGTAGATTAGATGTTTGAACCAGTTGCAATAGTTTCTTAAAAAATATAAATATCTTGAGAACGGTGAGAGATATCGAAAAAATGTTTAAACGAATGTTGCATATTTTATTTATGTTCGCAGGATTGTATGAATAATTTTTTTAATAGTGGTGGCGATTTGAAAAATATTGATTTCGAGTTATTAACGATTGTAGATTATTGTATGTACGTGTCGTATGGTTTAATTCGTCTAATCATGTTCTTTGTAGGTGTTGTTTGAAACAATTTCAAGGACTTTGAAATCTTGAAGGCTTTGACTTTGAGTCAAAACTGAGTTTTGTATTTAAACAATTATGGTGATATTCTAGATTTGAACTCGAATAAAAAATCTGTACATAGTATTACATTAAATAATGAAACCTAATGTAATATTTAATTGCTTTTGATGTATGAGTTTATCTCTAAATAATTTCAAATGTTCCCATATTAAAATTGTTTGCATTGCTTGACTGTAAAATTATACAGTATTTTCACATAAAATAAAAAGTTTTCCATAGCAAGCGTGCTTTATATTTTTAGCAGAAGTACACTATTCTAAACGAATTATGTGTATGAAGTTTTTTAAATCGCTACATAATACAAATGGTGGGTTGCAATTCTTTAGAGGTCGACTGAAAAATTTCGTGGATGGCGACACCAACGATATAGAATTGTATCCTAACAAACACGAAGATAAATCGTATCAAAATACTAGAACGTGCGTAATACTGCACAAACATATAATCGAGTTAGTATTGATTTTATAAAATTATTTCCTGTGCGCTTTTATGTACAGAATGTTGCATAACATCTTCTTCAGCGATAGACAGAGAACATAAATATAATGAAAAATGTTTATATAAACGTATGTGCTTTGTTTTCCATTGTTTATATGTTCCCAATCTATTATTGAAATAGATACGTTATGGAACAATTTGTACGTTCCATTCTAAAAGTTTTTATTTTAAAAAATATCGACCTTCTCCATCCTCTTTTTATTGTATTAAAGATTTGGTAAAACAATCGAGGATGCAAACACGGTGGCTCTCTTCTTCCAATTAGGATTCAATCTGATTGGTGTAAGCTTCACACAATTTCAGGTCGGTTTTGCTTAAACAGCAATTCTCATATTTGGCCAGCGCTTGCATACTGATCATTTGCTTTCTAATTAGGCGGTAGCAAATCTAGCAACTCCGAACAAGTCACTCAGGTTTGGTTCGTTTACGATATGCCTGTTGAGTATCCTTTATCTCGATAGCTGGCGTGGCCAACAAATGTTGGATTCTACCGATCGTATTTTTGAATATACGTAAGAGTCTTTAGAACGTATCATTTTTAGGTCAAGATTAGAAAAGGATAATCTTTTGCCTGTGTCTTCTCGATAATAATTTAAGTTTTAGAATTTCTACGAACTGTATTACCAATAGAGAAATATTGAAATGGAAATCCATGTTTTCAGGACAAGTGGCAACTGGTATTATGCATCTTTGAATTCCAGAAAACTCTTGAGCGTTATGTTGTCGAAAAGCATAAGGCCTATTAAAGTAACAGCTGGAAAACTCTACATTTTTAATTTAGAGAACTTCACATCGGTAAGGTTTTCATTGTCTTTATAATATTATCAATGCAATAGAGTTTCGATTATCCGGTAGGTGGTTATCCGAAATGTCCGAATAACTGATATATTTACCCTGACTATTCTTCCATAAATGTTACGGATTATATTTCACACAAACAAAGAAGTCCCAGTCGTATGCATCCAGCAGTGACGTCGATACTAAACAGTTGACGAATATAAAGCGTAGGAATTTTATATATTTTATTGTTTATTAATTATTTTTATTACTACATTACCCATGGTTGAGTTTATTAAAAATGAAAAACGAATTTTAAAAAAAAATAGACAGGGGGTATGTGCAGAAATTTTTTGGTGAAATTCGACAATTTCAAATCACTCTGAAAAAATTATTTTTCGTTGTGGGGGTTAATTATAATTATTTTTGGTGAATAGACATTCCCCCGAAATCTTGCGCAGTTTCGAGAAAAAAATTCGAGTAGATGGTGAAATTTTTCAGTGAAATTGAAAAATTTCAAATCATTCTGGAAAAGTTATTTTCGGTTGCGGGGATCAATTACAATCATTTTTGGTGAACACACATACCTTCGAAATTGTATGTACTTTCGGGAAAAAGATTCGGGTAGGTGCAGAAATTTTTCGGCAAAATTAAAAAATTTCAAATCATTTTGGAAAATTATTTTTGGTTGTGGGGGTTAATTATAATCATTTTTGGTGAATAGATATACCCCCGAAATCCTACGTCTTCCGAGAAAAGAATTTGAGTTTGTGGATAAAATTTTTCGACAAAATTAAAAAATTTCAAATCGTTCTGAAAAAATTAGTTTTGGTTGCGGGTGTTAATTATAATCATTTTTGGTGAATACATATACCCTCGAAATTCTACGTACTTTCGGGAAGAAAATTCTTTTCCGAAAATATAATGTGTGGCCAGAAATGTTTCTGTAATTTCATTTTCTGTCTCATTTCCTTTTGTGTTCATTTGAGTAATCCGTTGGTAATGTTGCGAGTGACACGAAAGTGGTAATGGGGCTGTAGAGGCCTAGGAAAATGGGCCGAAAAAATACATTGACTGTGAAGTCTACTTGTATATCACGTCTGTGATTATATTCCTTGTTTTTATCACTTCATATGTAGGTATAGTTCAATCATCCGTCATTAACCCAGTCCCAAGTATGCCGGATAATCTGAATTTTACTGTATCCTATTTTATAATATAAGATAAGCGACCAAAATTTCACCAAAAGTACAAAAGTGCATCTTAATATTTAATGAACTCTACTTTCTTAATATTTTTGAAGGTTCTACGAACGTCATTTTCTTACTGCATGGTGCTCTGCTCTTTTCAATGATCATTAAGTAACCAATAACAGATATTAATGTTCGTCGATGAGAAGAGAGATTTGTGGAGAATAAAGAAACGTGTTGACATTATCGGAATGCATTTGTGAAATCGGATCGATATGCATTTACGTGGAATAAAAATAGTTACTTAAATTTGGCACCCTCGTGGCGCCTAAGAGAGCCCCCTTCATCCACTGGTCTTGTCACGGTTTCCATTTAAAAATTTTCGTTTCGAGGCATAGTTCCAAATTATCGCACTCCATGGACAAAAGGTACGAATTTAATGTTCCACGTTCACCGAATCGTACCATATGGTTCTCGGGGGTCGATTCCTTTTCGAACGAAATAGGTTGTCGACACTGAAACCAGCAAACACCGATCTATCAAACACGCGGCACGTGCTCCACCTCCCACCTGGGCCTAATTGATTCTCGTTCGCGGATCTATCGAGGAAGTCGTTCGAAAGTCGATAAAAACTTGTTAACGCTCGTCACAGTGGACGAGGTTATTAATCAAGAACCAATTTTAATCCCCGAACGACCGGATGAATTTCAACGACGACTGAATTGCATTCGTCTCTATTTGTAACGATCAAATTTATTTGTCGACTGAAAAGATTGGTGGACGACGAGCGGAGAGACGAAATAATACATCAACGAAACGATTAGGGATCTGCAACTTTCGAATTGGTAACCATCCGTCGGTGATCGCTCACGATTTACAGATTTCATACAGTTGACACTAGCAGAGGATAATAGCTACTTTTTTTCAATTTTCCATACATTTAGTTTTAATGTAGTAGTAGACTAAGAGTATCAGAATACTAAAACTAATTAATGAGTAACAAGATATACAGAATGTTAATTATTGTATTTACGCTTCTGTTTTAGCTGTATAAGTTTATAAAAAGGAGCATTGCCCGTTACATTGTATTATTCAATAATAATAATAATCAAACTAAGAGTACGAAAACATGGCATTTGAAGAATTAAAGATACACATTACATTAGAATGGGTTCATACAAGAGAGCACAATTGTGTATGCAGCACAATGGGTAATTTTCAAAAACTTTTGTACAAGTTAACTTAGTTTAATAAGTAAATTACTCGCCTTATTTTCATTTAAATCCACTTTAAATCCATAAACACAAGTAACACAGCACATCATGTTGATACTAATGATATTGATGCTGTTTGTATCGAGACCTATTCACAATTGATTTTCTCGACTACGAAATCTCAAATGAAAAAATTGTCGGTTAATTATTGTATTTACGTGTCTGTTTTAGCTGTATAAGTTTGTAAAAAGAAGCATTGTCCTAAGAGTACGACTTTCTTCGGTTCAAGGAAGACATGTTAAAATGACGATAACCTCGAATATTTCAAATATCATTTATAGTAATCGATGCGATCGGTCGAGAATAGTGATCGATCGAAAAATCGGTTAATTCAAGCTCGTTAGTTGTGGTTCGAACAAATCTTCGAACACGAAGTTTGCATATATTTATGTCCCCTTGTCAATGGAATCTTTACTAAATACAATATACAGGTTGTTCGTGCTATTACAAGCTAGCGATTTTTTCGGAAACTATTGTGATTAAAAGAAAATGAGAGAGGAAAAAGATTTATAGTTTTTTTATGATCAATAGGACTGCCTTGTAATAGCATAAACACCCTGTATATTGTGTTTAGAATGATTCCACTAAGGGGACATAAATGTCCGCAAACTTCGCGTTCGAAGATTTGTTTGAACCACAACTAAGGCAAATTACTCGAACTCTCGATCGGTCACTATACTCGACCGATCATATCTGTTGAGATTTTATTGTGGAATGTATGTCTTTAATTAGATATGTTTTATTTTTAATAAGTAATGAGAAAACTAATTAGCTGTACGAAGCGTGTTACATTACATTACAGGCTGATCTACAATCAATGGGTGATCCAGCAGGTGGCGATCGATTACCTGCTCTACTTTATCGACACAAGTGAGATTTACGGTTATGTTTTGTCATGTCTTCCTTGAACCGAAGAAAGTCGTACTTTTAGTTTATTATTATTATTGAATAATGCAATTTAATAGGCAATGCTTCTTTTTACAAACTTATACAGCTAAAGCAGACACGTAAATACAATAATTAACCGACAATTTTTTCATTTGAGATTTCGTCGTCGACAAAATCAATTGTGAATTGATCTCGATACAAATAGCACCAATATCATTAGTATTAACATGATATGCTGTGTTACTTCTGTTTATTGATTTAGAGTGAATTTAAATGAAAATAAGGCATGTAATTTACTTTTTAAACTATCTTAATTCATACAAAAATTTTTAAAAATTGCCCATTGTGCTCTCTGAATTAGATTTGTGTAGTTGTATCATTAATTCTTCAAATGTTTTCGTACTCTTAGTTCGATTATTATATTATTGAATAATACAATTTAACGGGCAATGCTCCTTTTTACAAACTTATACAGCTAGAACAGATACGGAAATATAAAAATTAACCGACATGCATTATTTCTCCGCCATTCGTATGAGTTATTGCAGACTCCTTTTGAGGGTGGCTTAAAAAGATCTATTTCATCGACATGTGTATTGTATAAGGTTATCCAAATTGAGTGTCAAATCTTTATATTGAAATAAAACAGAAACTATTTGAGGTATTTCAGGTTTGTTTATTTTAATATAAAGTCCACTTCATAAGATTAATCATTTTACCCAATTTTTTATTACACTATTACATAATTGGGGTTCTATTTCATTAATGGCGGCTATAATATTGTTTTTTTGCTTGTCAATCGTTTGTGGTTTATCGGCACAAACTTTACTTTTTAAAAAACCTCATAGGAAAAAGTGTAACAGAGTTAGATCGCATGATCTTATGTTCCAGTTGATGTTTCCTTCTCGAGAAATCAGGCGTCGAAAACAAGCTCCAATAAAACTTGAATGTCTATAATAATTTTGTGCAATTTGTACACGTTATTGCACAGTGTAGCGTTCCATGACGATTTGTTTATATTTAGTGATGACGTGTTAATCAAACCGTTTAGCATTCCCATCTGTTAAGAGATATGACACTCAATTTGAATAATCCTATATGTATAATGCAGAAATGCGATTTACGGGGTTACGTATATTGTATTTCGATTTTTACGTAGGAATGTGAAAAGTTGCTCTAATTCTTAACCGTCTATGTTGTTATTTACTAAATGGATTGTCAGCAGAGGTTAGCATAGGATTCTTTGCACGATCTTCAGGAAACGACGATTTTCCCGGGTTAACGGACTTTGTTTCTACGAAGGACTATGCCTTCACGTCCGAGTGCCCCCGGGACAGTTTTTTTCCCCCCGTTAGTCGGCGTTCTTTATCCTAAAATCTTGTGCACTCGGCGGAGCAACACCTTGCTGAGGCTTTCGTCATGCACCCAGTTGTTCGTTGGCGCAGGGCACGCGCCGTGCCCCTTCTTAACAGGGATAGATCCCTTTGTACGATGGATATCTCTAATTGTCTCGAAGCGATTCGCCCCAAGGCACTGTCTTGGCCGTTGGCGTTTCGCTAATTTCCCACCCTCACCATTTTGCGTTCGTCGAAAATTGACACCGGGCATCGATCTGTCGTACGATTTAAAAATTAACTTTCATTGTTTTAATACGAGGTGAATTAACGAGAAGTATTATCTAAACCGATCGTAATAGTATTTTAAAGAAATTTTCCTGTGCTCGAAGGGATTCGCTGGTGGCTGGTCCCGAGTTTCTAATAAGTTTTTAATTAATTGTTAGAATTATTGGCGCGATGGCTGCCGAATAAGTATTAAATGTACCCGGTGTCATCGACCGTCGTGCGTAAGTATACCGTCTTCTCTTTGTTTTCACTTCCTCTGCCACTCTTTTTTGTCCGACGAGTAAGATGCACATATTATATGCAGTTATTATATTCTGTAGCTTCTATTATAAAAGCATCTGTCGTTTCAACGAACCAACGAACCAGCGAAAGTCTGTTCGAGTGTTCCGGATAAACGAGACAAAGGCTGGAAAATCGGTAATTGGAAATAAATTTTCAGCGTGCAGTGCAACGTCACCTCGGCGTTTTCAAGTTTTTACGCTATCGCGTGCCGAAATATTATGACAAATTCCCCTCCGATTCTATACGTTCTCTAAAATAAATAACTCGATTTTAAAGCTTCCGACAAATTAATTATATTCCTGTCGTTCTTCGACTATAGATATTTTACCTTATTTATAGTATTCAATTCTGTTTTTTAAATACGTATCGCACATAGTTAAAAACTATTAGATCGTCCCATAAGTTTCTGCCGTTCAATATTCTGAAATTGACGAGGATAAAATTTGTAATTTAACTGAAAACAAACAAAATTTGTCAGTTCAGGGGATTTCTGAAACTTGAAACATACTAACATCAACGATTCATAGAAATTTGAAAGAAATAGATATTGTTAGTATAGATATTATTACTATGTAAACAGTTTGAAAATGTCAATGTTTTAATGAAAAACGTTGAACTACATTTTAACCCTTTGCACTCCTACAGTTTGATTAATATGAACAACTAGCAATACCAAATAAATACCTATGATTAAAATTTTATTCACATATTTCCTAAATTCAATTTGTGTTATCATGATTGAAACTTGAATCAAGCTATTTTATGTATTATCTTTGTCGACATAACGGCGCAGGTAAGTGCAAGGGGTTAATAAAAAATCAAAGAAGGTTTTGTTTCAACGTTTTTGTTTTGATTACGAGAAACTCGAATTTCAAAATTGTTTCAAGCTCGTTGTCATGCTCGTTCATGAAAAATATTCATGGCTGCGTGAATCTTTTTGTTAGTATATAATAAAACTGAACCTTATAAAAAATAAAAAAAAATAATTTCCAAGCTTATTAGTGGATAAACTATTTGGAAATGTCAACGTTTTAATGGAAAGCGTTGAACTACAGTTTAATAAGAAATCAAACAAATTTTTGTTTCAACGTTTTTATTTTGTATCGTTTGTATCAATGATATAATAGCTTTGCCAAAGGAAGAGGAGGGACTTGTTGAACGAGAAGAGGTTTACTGT